AGCAGACAGCAGGGACTGGCTCGGGAGCAAGGGAATCCGGAGAGAAACAAGCAGTAAAAAAAATCTCAACATGAAAAATGCCAACCAGGAAAATGAAAAGAAGGGTGGAGAGGAACAACATGGAGCGACAGAGCCCATGGCCTGCCCTGTGGGAGCCGGTGGGCACCGTTTGCCCAGAGGAGGCGTAGGCAGCTCGTCAGGCGGCCCATCCCGCAGCAGAGGGGACGGGGCTCAGAGGCCTGGAGAGCCACAGGCAAGGGTGAGATGAGAGGGCAGGGAAGGACTGGGGAGGAGATGAGACAGCTGATGGAAAAGCTGAGGGGAAAGCAGTTAAGTCAGACTTTGCAGGCAGTTAGCCCTGACCCCTCACCACGACCGTGGTGAGGAGTGCTGCCTTGTGCCCTGAATCCCAATGTCTTCCCCTAAGCAGACAGGGAGACACACCCTGCTAGGCTGGCTTGTGATGTACCTTCTTGTAAACCTTCTGGTGCCACTCGTTTCCTGTGGGTCTCCTGTTACCAGCTTCTAATTGAATGTTGTATTTTGACCCAATTTGTAAGTTTCTGTCAGCAGGGGAGTTTTACTTATTGCACGGAAAGATGCTCATTACATATTGTGAAGTTAATAAAGCAGTTTAAAAAAGCCAAAAAAAAAAAAAAAAAGACACACTGCCCTGGCTGAGTGGCTCAGTTGGTTGGAATCTTGTCCCTTGCGCCAAAGGTTGCAGGTTTGATTCTGGGTCTGGTGCATACAGAGGCAACAGATCGATGTTTCTCACATGTTTCTCTCTCTCTCCCCCCCTTCTCTAAAATCAATTTAAATTTATAAAAGTAAATAAAAGACACTCTCCAACCTTGCTGGAACAGGACTTGTAAGGTGCCTAACAGCAAATGGACATCTACCCCGTCTGCAGACATCAGACTCCTCGAGGACAGGTGCTGCTGACATCACAGGCAGATGGCTATTCCAAGACGACTGATGCTGACCTCAGAGACCAATTGTTTGATTGCCTTTGCCTGCTTGCCAATGATATTAGTCATAATAATAGTTGCACTTCTTCTTTGGGTTTTTGTATATAGTCCAACATTCACAATTACCGAAGACGTACAAGATAACTGCTAACACCCTTCATAGCTTATGTGAATGTCACACTAGATGCAAAACACAGAAAATGAGACAGATGAAAACTTGGGTCATCATAGCTCACAGCACAGAATTGGTCCAGAGTGCTTTCCATGGGGCAGCTCAAGACCTGGTGGTTACGGTGTTGACTCACCCAACGGTCCACCATTTCAACAAGAGAACGTCAATACTGAGACTTCTAGGAACAAGCCTTCCTGATGCTGAGACCACACTGTGTGACCAAAACGTAGGTCATCAATGCATCCTTCCATTGATTTATGGGGAACTGTGGAGGAAAAAGGGCTTCTGTGGAAGGAAACCTTGCAGGGCGACCTGATCCTAAATTCCTCTCTAGGCAGGTGGTGGGCACTCCGCCGGGCATGAACTTCTTCAGTGAGAGGTTTCAGGCCGGCCCAGTCCATTGCCCGTGTGCGTCTAGGTTCACACGCCTCTGAAATGCCTTTTACCAGGTAATCGGACCTGGCCTTGCTTTCCCCCACCTCCCCACCCCTTCCTCAGATTCCAAATGCGGAAGAGTCTGCAAACCACCATTCCCCCAAGTGTTTCAGATCTTGTTTCCCGTCAGCTGCTGTTGGTTTGGGTCAAATGAACTCATAAAACCTTTACAGTTGGGAGGTTCCTGTGTGGACACCTCTCTTTTCCCCCTTCCCTTTCTCTTCTTTTAATGCTAGTTGAGACCCACTAAATTCATTTCACATTCCACTGTAGTGCTGTTACTTGCATTTGAAAAAAACAATCCTATAAAGCAAACTTCTGCATATGAAATGAACTGAGAGGCTTGAGTTTCAGAAACCTCTTCTGAAAAGAGGGGCCACCGGTTGGGGCCCATCAAACCCTCTTCCCACGTTGTTCACTCACATCCCAGGCCTCACCCACCTACATCACCCTAACTCCCTGCGCTGCAGACCCTCCCGCAAAGAGGGTGCCGACTTCGCATCTTGCGTGTAAACGGCCCCACTGTGTACAAGAGGCAGCGCAGAGCACTGAGGGCGCCACGTCTCAGGGGGAGGGGCATCAGTCTTCCCCAGCATTTCCGCTGGCAATTTCAGCATCTGCTTTGAACAAGAGCATTTGTTACCTGCACACTGTTACTAAAGCGATAAACTGCTCATGGCAGGTCCTTAGGGCCCGAAACTGCGGGACCTCGAGGTTCAGGGGGGACAGACAAGCAGCCCTCAAACCAGGTCAAACCAGAGCTGTGGAGAAAAGCCCTTAGCACTAGCAGCAGAGTGAGTGCTGTTGGGCGAGCGTGTTTAACACCCTTCCCTAAGCTGGTTCACTGATTTTTTTTTTTTTTTAGTTTTTTAAAAAAATGTATTTTTTATTGATTTCAGAGAGAAGGGAGAGGGAGAGAGAGAAACATCAATGATGAGAGTCACTGATTGGCTGCCTCCAGCGGGCCCCTGCTAGGGATCCAGCCAGCAACCTGTGCCTGTGCCCTGACGGGGACCACGACCTCCTGGGTCCTAGGTTGAGGCTCAGCGGCTGAGCCACGCCGGCAGGGCCTGATCCCTTGATTTTTTACCTTCAATGAAATGACATGCCTTGTTTAACATAAAAGAGCTTATTTAGTATATAATTTCCATACAACTCAGAAACAAGTTATAAAAGCTCTTTGTAAGATTTCCCCCACAGGATGTTAAATACACAGAAAGTCAGTTGCCACAGCACGTCAGCCCCTCTCCTCCCGAGCGTCTCCCCGCGACAGACCAGCCCTCTCCAAGGTGAAAGGCTGTTATAGAGGAAGTATCTGTGACAACAGGAACCAAGACACACGGCCTGAGGACATTTCATCTTCCTGTGGATCCCAAGCTTTAAGAAATGGAATACTGTATCAATTCAAGTGGGTTTTGGCCACAGATGCGAGTTCGAGTCGCTCTTAGACCAGGTGCACGTGGAATGAGGTCCCTGTCACCGGCACGCTGTCACCAAGTTACAGAAAGCCATCTTCAAGTGGACAGCAAGCAGCCCGGGAGCCTGTTTGCTCCTGGCTGCTGTATCTGTGAGACCGGAATCCTTCCCTCTCATGGGACCTCTTACAGCCCCTGGGATCCGTATCAGCTCTTGGCGTCGGGTAAGGGCTCAGCAGCGACCCTGACCCTAAACACGCCCCTCGCCTCCGTGTGCAACTCTCCTGCGCAGGGCCCGACGCAGCTCTCCCAGCATAACTCAGACCACTAATACGGTTTGGGGACGTTTTAATACCTCCTGCTCTAAATGTTTTAAAAGTCGACCAAGTACTTAAATAAATCTATGAAGCAAATGAAGCTCAGAAATTTTCTTGAATTTTGTTTTTCCATTATTTTATGATTTTCTCAACCACATCCAATTTAAAAGCAATTTTTATAGACTCACAACCTTTATCAAATCAAATCAAAGCACTCATGCTAATTTTTGCAGAAGCAACCATTTCTTTTACCCCATTTCCCTTGGTTCAGGGGAACTGTGAACTTATAATAAGCACAGAATGGGCCCAGAGAAGGAAGGTGTGGGCACGGGACTTGAGGGCGCTTAGCTGAGGGAGGAGCACCCTGGGGTGCTGGGTAGGCAGCCTGGGGGCAGAGACTGAGCAGGGAGCTGGGGAGTCAGTTGGGCAGAGAGGAGAGAACTCCCTGCATGTAGAGGTGCTTCGGGATGCTCGCTGAGCCAAACCAAGTGTCATTCTCCCCTAAGGACAGCCACCATCTGAAGTCATTACCACACAATGCAGCCACCAAGATGTGTGTGGTGGGTCTCAGGCCACAGTCACCTGCTGTGGGTGGGTGGTAGCCAGCAGTGGGGCCCTGCTCCTTTCCCAGGTGCTGCCTGAGAGGCTCATACACAAAACTGACGAGCACACAAGTCTTTACATGACAGCATGGGATTTGGTCACTAGGAAGAACTTTCTACTCTACATGGACACAGGTCTCTGGTGACAGGTCCCGGGAGGTGTGGGTGTGTGTGGACTCTGGTGACAGGTCCCCGGGAAGCGTGTTTGGGGGGACTCTGTCTTGCAGCATTTTTGTCAGTTAATATTTTTTTCTTCAGGATTGAACACCACCTGTGTCAGCAAGAATGGCACCAGCGCCTCCACGTGTTGAGGACACACCTAAAACTTAAGTACCTGCTCTGAGACTCCAAATCTGAGCTTGGACCAATGCACTAAGGCACACTGGAAATAAACTGACATATATCTGGGAAGGCAAGAGAACTTAACAAATGAACCCGCAGTCTACCCAGCTTGCCCACGTGCGCTCTGCCGTCTGAGCCAGGCGCTGGCTGAAGGGCTGCTGCGCACTCAGCTGTCATTGCTCACCGTGTTCATCACACAGTATCCCAGCCGCACTGTCTCCACCCTCCGACGGGACACAGGAAAGATATAGTTCAGGAGTGTCAGTCACATAATCTAATACACTCGGCTACTATCTTAAACAAGGTCTGATACGAGCTGAGCACCCTGGAGTCCAACACAGCTCCTAACATTTTGTGTGTGTTTTGTTTTGTTTTAAATGCTAACCCAAGGACGTTTATTCCATGCTTTTCAGAGAGTGGGAGAGAGAGACATCGACGTGAGAGACAATGACAGGATGCCTCCCACACTCGCCCCGACCGGGGCTGGGGGTCAAGCCTGTTACCCAGGTATGTGCCCGTGGCTGGAACTGAACCCGCGACCCTTCAGTCTGTGGGCTGACGCTCTAACCACTGAGCCAAATCAGCCAGGGCGTAACATTTCTGTAGCTGCTGCGTAAGGAGCAGCCTGGCATATAAAGTCCTGAGACTGGGACACACACGTACCCGAGGCCTCAGTGATTTACTGCACTGCAGCCACAGGGCACATGGGGTCGTTTCCGATCGGCAAGAACAGCGAGAATGCTGACTTCAGTAGCCATCTTGATTTAATTAAATGAACAATATGCTTTTATCAGCAACTTTTATACATCCCCATTACTGGAAATTATAAAAGCAAGACCTTCTGAGTAGGTGCACGGACCCCTTCTGTTCACGGTGAGCAGGACTCAGAGGCACTTGGTTCCCTTAAGGAGGAAATGCTCCCGCTCCCAGACTCAGGGAGACGAGACCAAGTCAAACTTGGTAGGAAAATGCTCTTTCCCAAAAATACTGTATTAGTTAGGATACAATATTTGAAAAATATTCAGACTTTACAAGATTCTAGGCTGTAAAAAATACAAAGGCTAAAAACAAAATGCTTACAAAATTTTGCAAACCCAGTAAATTTAAACTAGTAAGAAATAAAGAAAAGTCATCTTTCTTGCAGGATGGGTTAAGTAGTGCCAGCAGGTTTTAAGGTGAATAACACTGGACAGTACCAGCACACACAGCCACACACACACTTCTTCTGCTCCTTATAGACTCAACACGACACCTGAAACTCCTGCGTGTCCAGCACTGACACAGGCACACACATGCGCCCACACATGCACATGCACGCATACACACAGACATGACACGTTACACCTTACATTTCAGACAGAGCACAACAAAGTTTTAGTTACAAAGACCTAACATGATTTTTCTGAAATATTAAATGCATGGTAATTTGAAAACATTATAAAATTTTGAGGTGAAACAGGACAATAAAGAGCTTTTAAAAAGCCACCAATTGGCCTTCACTAGTGAGATAACTAAATAAGTTAACTATGTGTCCCCTCGATGCATTTCAACCACCACTGCCTGAGGTCAACTAAAAGTTCCGTGTTTCAAACCCCGGACCGGCTGTGGATTTCCCACAGGACACGTGGCTGCTCAGGCCGCAGATGGACATGTAAGTTTCCCTGCCATGGGATCCTACATCCCTCCTAGGAAGTTGGCTAGAGAACATTCAGGGGAAAGACAGGGACAAGATGAACAATAATTAAGCTGCTATAAGATATTCCAAAGATGGGGACAGTTGTGTAAACACCTGCGGAACTTACTCAGATCACAGCGTTAAGGTTTGAGCGACCTAATTACATGCGAAGCCTTATCGAGCTTCGTGCACGGAGACCGAGCAGGAGCTTGTCACTTGCTCCTGGACAGCTTGTAGACGTGGAATGTCTTGTTCTGAAACACCCGGGTGAAGAGTGCCCTGTAGGGAGGTAGGTCCCGCTTTATCTCCTCACAGAAGCGAGGGTGCCCTGCAGGCTTCAAATCTGGGTAGTTCTCTCCTGGGCCATCCATCATCTAAAGCCAAAACAGAGCCAAGTATGATTTGGTGTAAAAAAATCATGTTTGAGAGAAACACAAGTAGGGACAGGTATTGGGTTCCTTTAGTGAACTCAAGTGACATGATTTCAATGCTGGTGGCTGCTTGGTCACGTGGTGCCCCCCGAGGTGAGAGCCATGGCCAAGGACATGCAGTCACAGGGACCACCCTTCACGGCAGGGCTGGACCTGAGCTCATCTTGTTCTGAGGGGCCACCACGCTGTTCTTAAAACACAATCAGGAGGAGTCCCCATGACCCGAGAACACCCCCAGCTCATTAGGTGGCCTCAAGAAACATGTTACACACAAAGCAAAACTCAGATGCACCTCTGGGGTCTGTGCCTCCCAGAATTCACGGTAGTTAGTTATTCTGCTTGGGTAAACCCGAGTCTCAAGTTCTTTTTCCCCAGCTTAACTGAGGCAGAGTTGACAAAGTTGTACACGTTTAAGGCGCATGCTCTGAAAATCTGGCACACACGTGCGTATGCGCACACGCACGGTCTGATGGTCTGACACACCCACTGACACACATATGTGCTGACACACATACACACACATGTGGTGAATCGATGACCACAGTCCAGTCGGTTCATACACTGGGTTGGTGTGGGGGACAAACTCGTAGTGACAAGGTGAGTAGGTTCTGGGGTCCAATGACAGCAGGGTGACTACGGTTCATGACAATGTTTGTCATGCACTTGAACTTTGTACAGTGAAGTCTTCTCGGATTGAGGCTTTTTTTCCTGCCCCAAGTGTACGCTGGGCTCAGAAAGCACCTCTGTGTCCAGTGGTCAGGGGACCTGCTGGGCTCAGAAAGCACCTCTGTGTCCAGTGGTCAGGGGACCCGCTGGGCTCAGAAAGCACCTCTGTGTCCAGTGGTCAGGGGACCCATGGGCGAGCAGGGAGACGAGGCACCGCTGCCCAGTCACTCCTGACGAGCCAACTGATGCTCCAGAGCAGTGTTTTCAAAAGGCGAGGTTTTTTTATTATTTTAGCAGCAAAACTTTAAACATGGACTTTGTGCAGAGCCTCCTGACCAACGAGCCAAAGATAGGTGCTCTGTTGGCTGTGAACTTGGGGCCCTAGCACTCTGCCCCCCACCCCTGCACATGGAGCGCCACGAAGATGGGTGCTGACTCACTCAGGACGCCAGCTGGAGTCCACCCCTAGGGGACCACATGCTTACGTGTCCATTGGCCACGTCCAGCAGATCCCGTAGCCGACAGCCCCGCTGGTGCCTGCGTTCATAGCAGATGCTGTCCTCCAGGATAACATAGTCAGCACCCAGGGCCCGCAGCAGGGTGTGTACCTCCTCCGGAGGCCTCTTTGCGTAGATCTGATAAACCTTCAGAGTGCGATGAAAATGGGGTAGGGCAAAGCACCCCTCGACTGCCACGTACAGTCTAGGGACAGGTGATGTTGTCACCTCCCACGGGGTGGGGTCTCAGCCCTAAACAACCCTGTCACTCCTCCCCGATGCCTCCCCCAGCCCATGAGCAAGTGAAGCCCACGGCTGGCCCCCAGAAGCCACAGAAGGTGGGCCTCACCGCCTTGGTCCGTGCCCGCAGGCTGCTATCCTCGTAGTGGGGGTGGTTGGTGAGGGTTCTTCCCGTGCACAGCTTAACTCCGGCTAGCAGCTGCATGCTGCCAGCGAACACAGCCGTCCCCGGGGTGTTGGAGCTGAAAGATTTCAGAGTCTTGGTTAGCCCCATGACTGGGTTTCCCACAGACAACAGTGAGGACAATGCCGGGCGAAGCTCAGGGCCACCCTGCTCGGGTAGCAAGTGCCTGAGGACAGAAAAGACACAGGAGAGGCTGCTTGAGATTCTGATTTGTACCCAAACTATTTTACAAAATGTTTTGCATCCGTTTTTGGTTGGGGAGCTCTAGCTGACTGTTCTGACAGGTCTGCTCTCAGAGTGAACTGGCTCAGGACCGGAGTCTCCTGGGCTGAACCCACATCCTCCCAGCTCTTGGTCCACAGGCCAGATTCCAAAAGAACTGAAAATGCTGCCACTGTTCTGCATGAACGTAGCTACAGGGCTGCCACAGCGGAACTGCAGCCAGCCAAGGCAGGTCCAAGTGTTTTGTTTAAAACAAGCAAGAGAGGTCACAGAAATTATTAAAAATTACTTTTCAGGAAAAAAGTTGTGAAAAGAACATGGAAAGAAGATTCTGAAACAGCTCAGATTACTTATCACAGGGACGGCACAACATGGCTCATACGGAAACAAGGGTCCTGTATCCTGGACTCTGGTCCTGGTTATGAAACTGTGTGGACCCTGAGAAGCAATGGGCCCTCTGACACTGTCGCGAGTGCACTTTCCAGACACCACGAGCTGTGTGCTGCTCCGCCTCCCCAGGGGTGCGAGGAGATGTCCCTGGGTATGGCAAAGCCTTTTTCCTTCCCCACCCTGGAAAAAAGAATCTTAGCAGCTGATTCAATTCCCTTCCCTCTCTGGAAGCTGGAGTGACCCAGTGGGTGAGTAGTCTCCCTGTGAAGAGCGCACCCCCTTTTCAGGCATTCTCCTCAACACAGACCTTCCTGGGCGAGGTGGAGGGACGGCGGGTCTACCCGAGGTCATAGCGCCCGCACACGGCAGAGGATGCTCTGTTCACCCCGTCATGCTGGGACTGAAGCATAAGGGCCACCCCGCGGAGCCCCAGGATGGCTTCCAGCAGAATGCCCTCCACTTCAAGTGGTAACACCTGCAAATCATTTACTTTTGAAAAATTCAAGATTTTCTTTCCAGCAATGGCACTCTCATCCACTTAAATTCCACTAGGCCTTCTGAAGTGAGGGAGAAAGCGGGAGGAGTACTGTGAGCCCGCAGGGAGTGACCCCATGTGTGTCAGAGGAGCTGTCAGTGAGCCTGCAGCCCGGGGCGGCAGCCCCACTCCCACAAGGAACACAAGTCTGTGTTTGCTCCGCCCCCAAACCAGCAACTTTCAGGGAGTCCGACACTGCCATGTGGTCGGGAGAACGGGAGGGTGCAAGTGAGAGCTCGAGAGCAGAGTCCTTGGTGAAGGTCTGCGGAAACCGTTCATTGGATGAGCGCCTGCTGAACCTGCCCTGTGGTGCTCGCCTGCAGGCACAAGACGGCAAACAGCAAATGCAGACAGTAAACACACTGTTTTCCAAGCCCGTCTGCTTCCTCTCAGCTACTCCGCCGGCACAGACCGTGCGCCTGCAGCCAACGGTACAATAACATCACGGACTACAGCCCAAGTGCTCTTGGTGGCGCCTCTGAATAGACGTAAAATGTGGGGAGAAATGGGTGTGGGGCAGGTCTGGCACAGGAGAGACCAGCGCGGCCGTTGGAACAGCCTGGCCTGTGCAGCCTCCCCCCAAGGGGCGCAGACGTCTCTGCATGCTGGCTGGTCGGCCAGGGCTGGTGACAGCCATCCAGCTGCAGGATGCCCAGCACCACTGCTCCGGGTTTATCACAGACACACAGAGTTGTTTGCAGGGCACAGTTTATAGCTGAGGCAGACAGGTGACTGACCTCGCTGTCTCTCTATGGTATTACTGAGGGCCTACTATGTGCCTGACAGGCCAACATGCCACACCAGCCCGTCATCCCAAAACCATTCAGCTCCCACTGCAGGAAGACACTTCACACACACCAGCAACTGGCCTGTCACACACTCTCCGAGCTTCCTGCGGGCCCTCGGGAGGCTGAAGGCCGAGGGCACAGCACGTCCAGCCCGCATGTTCTGGGGGCATGGCACCCCCACACCCACAGGGTGCTGTTCCAGTGCCCACACCAGGCACAGTGAGGTGATGTGTCACATGACTGCTTAGAGGTCTTGAGGAAAAAAATGGAAAAAAGCTCATTCAATCCTGACACGCATCAATGTTTGGCCTCAGCAGGAAGAGCCAGGGAGTTCAGAAATGCCACCTGTTAAACACCCAGAGTGACGGCCCTTGGACTGCTGACTGGCTTTCACCAAGGTCCTTGGTTTTGTTCAAAACAGCAAAATACAAGTCCTCAGTGCCTATAGAGTGAATCAGAACAATTCTTCTGTGAACACACTGACTCCAAGCCCAGGAGAGTCATGTCTGACCACTTTGTCCAGCTTGGTTTTCTACCCCAGCCCCAGGGCGAGTCTGAAAGATCTCACTGCTATTTTAGATGCAAAGTTAAAACAAACATGCAAAGTGGAACAAAATAACTCCCCGCCCTATTTTCTAAACCTCAGAGACTGAGAGTCACTGCATTTTATGTTTTCTGTGGGAAAGCTCACACGCACAGGCGAAAGGACTCTACCCGTCATGTAAAACCACAGCTGGACAGACACTGGGCAGGATCCTCCCCCATAACCCCAGTACAGCCTGTGGTCTAGAGCAACTCATGTGCTCCTCACCAACAACACTTCTCCACTAGAGAAAGCAAAGCACTCTGACCAGTGTATGAACCAAGGTGGCCAAGACAGAAGGGCTGTTTGTTCCCATGGCTCTCTGTCAAGCCTCAAAGCAGGCTACCCAATCTGCAAATAATTTATTCTGTGAGGAATGTCACTAAATAATGACAGGGACTCACAGGCCAAATGGATTTACATTATATTACTTAAGTGTCACTCCAGGAAGATCAGATGGCACCGTGAACAAACATGCCCATTTATTATGAAGCCCTGAGCTCCAACCAGGTAATTACTGCTGAGCTGATGGGTACACTGAGCATTATAATGTGTGAACATTTGCTTTACCCACACTTCAAAGATTTATAGAACTACAAAAGGATTCATTAAATATAAAGCAGATTTATAGGCATTTAAGGCCTGAACTTAATCTACCTCACTTTCTTGGTCTTGATATACTGAGAAAATATTGTGTGCAGCTTTCGTCAATGGGAAGAGACTATTTTTAGTGAAAATCTCTCAAAGCCAGCAGTTAAAGTGTCTCACCTTAAAATACTCTAACCTACAGGTCTACCTGAATTGCAGTGTCAAAGAAGGACTCAGGAACCAAAACTGAAATACTCTGAGGACACAGAGGAAGGAGGCAGGAACCACCAAGTGCAGAGACGCCTGGCCTGGCTGAGTGAGGTAAGTGCTCTTTCCTGAAATCAGACCTAGGACAGCACCACCTGGCTCTGCTAAAGGAGGCGTCAAAACACCCAGGTTTTTAACCTTTGCACGCAGGAGACACAATCAGCAAAGGGGGAAATAGGAACACATACAGCCGAAAGTGCTGGAACATGCGCAAGGGCAGAGCTGCATCCCACACTCAGGTCTGATGGCTGCTCCCTCCCCATGGGGGTGCCCCCTTTTCACAGGCTGTGGTTGCAGATAGCAGGTCTTGAATGAAAAGAATTATTTCCAAATGCAGAGTTTTAAAGTAAAACCTGAGAATGGATGCATCTTCACAATTAGATTCAGCACAAAGCAGAATACAAACCGGGAGGGTGTCCTCGACCCTGGGGGCACTTTCAGTGTGAAGGGGAAAAAGCCTCTTACTTAATCCAGTGCATCAGCTCCACTGTGTCTGGGTCATAGAATTCCCTCAACTCCGAGAGCTCATCCATCACTCCTGGCCAGAACTGAAATTAAAAACAAAACAAACAAAACAAAATCCACCCCTCACCCACAGTGGTCACTCTGGCGAGAGTGAAAGAGCTGGGGCTGCCTGCACGCGTGGGCTGGACAGAGGCAGCTAGGCCGTTAGAGCAGTGCCACCACTGCCTCACCCCTCCTGGCAGGCAAGGCAGCCGACATCTGAGCAGTTTCCAAAACCAATCTGAGCCCAAGCTAATTATGACTAGAGGTGTTGTCGGCTTTTAAAAGTGAGCTTTTAGCCCAGCCGGGCGTGGCTCAGCGGTTGAGCATCGACCTAGGATCCAGGAGATTGAGGTTCGATTCCCGGTCAAGGCACATGCCCCAGCTGTGGGCTTAATTCCCAATGACTCATCATTGATGTTTCTTTCTGTCTCTCTCTCCCTCTCCTTTCCTCTCTCTGAAATAAAGATATATTTAAAAAAATAAAAGTGAGCTTTTATTTTACTCGATAACAATGCCATTGTATGTTGTTAAAAATCTAGTAAAACATTAATTTGGAGATGAGAGGAGTAGCAACCACAGAAAGTTCACAGCAGACTAGAAAAATGTAACTAACACCACGCACCCACTCTTAACCCGGGCCTGCCCTGGGAAGACAGCCGCCGAGGGCTGCGGGGGCGCAGGAACGGCAGCCTGCGCTCCGGACCCCGCCGCACGTCAGGAGCACGGGTCTCAGCCTGCCCCGTCCCCATCCAGCCCCCTTGCTGCGTGGTGTAGGGATAAAGTGATTATGTTTTCTTGTCCTAGAAATCTGGGCAAATGTGTGACGTATACTATCGTAATTACAGGTGTGCTGGTGAGAACACGTGGGACAGAACTCTGCAGACAATGTGGTTGGTGTGTGTAGCCCCTGGTGCCTCTGATGGACCCGCCTTCCTGCAGGTTGTGTGGATACAGTGTGAGAACCACCCTTGGAGGCCTCCACCTTCTAATGCAACATGGCCGTCCAATCCAACAATTAATTAAATGTTAATGGTTTTATCAAATGATAGTTGGCTAAAGAAACTTCATTGTCTACATCTGTCCTAAGTGGACACCAGGGTTCATTTCCTGTGTGGGACAGAAGGCCAGTGACAGTGTGTCTAAGTTTCACTGATGTGGGAAGTTTGATAATTTTATCTAATTTAAGAACCATTAGCTGGATCCTAGGTGGCACCTGACTGGCTGCGGCTGTGCAGCCCTGTCCCTTTCCTACTCTGTCAACTCATCTTTGGCCAGTTCTACGGCTCGTTCGCGCCTCATCTCCTGGGGGTGTCGGCACCACAGGCTCCAGGCTCAGAAGAGATGGCACAAAACCCTGATCGAAATGATGCCTCTGTGCTACCTGAACTGCCCATAACCCTGTAACTGGTAATCAGTAGACACCAACTCTTAATGACGTTTGCTGCTCTAATTCTTTTGCTATAAAACATTTTTAAAGCTGTGAGTTCAATGAGTATTATATATTTGAAAGTTGCTGTAATTATCTCTGAAAATGTTAAACTCTAGAAACATAGTCTTGTGGTAAAGCCTCACCCAATGTGAAAATAAGTGTTGAATTTACTAAATGTTGCTTTTCAATGATCAGCAATAGTTTTTATGGAATTTCAGCAACCGAAATAAATTAATCAACATGAGGGTAAGAATATTACTAAACTCTTGACTCTGGAGTGGACACTAGTAAATGCTTTTCCCTTTAAACAGGATTATCTTAAAGAGACATACATCAAAATTAGTATCATGAACAAGCTTTGAAATCCTCATTACGACTGTACGTAAAACCCAAATCAGGCCTTGAAATATGAGTTCATATTATCTACAGATAAATCTGTTAAACAGCTGGAAAACAAGCTTGTTTTGGGGTAACTGCTAATGCACGTAACATCTTTCTTTTCTGTGCAATTTTACATTGTACAAGCTTTGAGAAGCTGAAATAGTTACTCTATTTTTTTTTAAATGACTTTACTTGTTGATTTTTGTGTTTATTGATTTTTAGAGAGAGAGGGGAAAGGGGCGGGGTGCAGAGAAGGAGGGAGGGATGGGGAGAGAGAGATCTGTAGTTCCACCAATCTATGCATTCATTGGTTGATTCTTGTACGTGCCCGGACCGGGGATTGAACCCATAGCCTTGGCATATGGGGACGATGCTCTAACCCACTGAGCTAGCCAGCCAGGGCTCTCTAATCTGTTTTCCACAGTGGTTTCCCCTCAGCCCAGCACTGGGAGGCCAGGCTGGAGGTCTCTGAGTCTCACTGTGGGAACAGCCACAGGGTTTCCTGGAGACGACCTTTTCAGTTGCAGGTTCTCGGTGAGGGAGGGACTCTGCCCCACCCCAGGGGACATTCTGCAATGTCTAGAGAAATTTCTGATTGTCCCAAGTGAAGAGAGCATCTGGTGGGTAGAAGGCAGGAGGCTGCCATGCCCAGGCCGCCCTGTACAGAGAACTATCTGGCCAATGTGTCCACACAGGGTATAGACTCATGGGGCACCAGCCCCACCTGGAGGGCTGGGGAACACCAGCAGTTGGACCCCATTCCCAGAGCCTCTGACTCAGCAGATCGGGGCACCTCGACTCCTGGCCGCCTAACAAGTCCCTGGTGATGTTGATGCCACCTGTCTAGGGACCACACTGTGACAGCCAGAGGCCAGAGCATGGTTTATTTCTTCCACTGTGTCCTTCCTCAGCCTTATCAAGAGCAAGGGACTTAAGGCCGTGGCCGGGTAGCTCAGTAGGTTAGAGTGTGGTCCCCATACACCAAGGTTGCAGGTTCAGTATCTGGTCAGGGCACATATAAGAATCAACTGGTGATGCATAAATCAGAGGAACAACACATCGATGACCCTCTTTCTCTCTCTCCCTTCCTCTCTCTCAAATAAAAATGCACATACAAAAAAACAGGGGACTTAAGTATCCAAACACCTTTAAAAAAAATTAGTAAAATTTGAAATAAGTGGCTGCGACATGAGAAACCTCAGCTGGCACATAGCCACAATGGGGAGGTGGGATGGGCTGAACACGGCTTCCTGCGCAGAGGACCAAAGGCCAAGGCACCTTGTTCACTAATAAGCCTGCACCTAATTCTTAGCAGCTGCGTTTCACACCCTTGTAAGAGTCCCATTTGCTTATGTGAGAGTAACGAACCTTCCAGAGGCAGAGTGGTGGGAATGACCTAGCTCTATGGCTTCTAGTACCTGGGAGTCAGCACAGACTGCCTGTCGCAGTAAATGTTTGATGGACAGGATATGACAGAACATAGTGTATTGAAGTATTTATGATAGAATCGTCCAACATGGTAATTATTTAACAGGGTTTTTTTTTTGCCTAAACACTTTGCTTCAAATGAAATCTTACATGAAAACACCAGCAAATGAACCTAAATTGAGCTGCTGCAGCCAGTCCTCTCTCTGGTGAGCCCCTCCCGCAAGTCACCTCTCAGACACACAGAACAGTTTGAAACCCACTGTCTCATTAAAACAGAACTTGAAAAAAGTCGTCTAAACGTAAAAGACATGTAAGATTTTTTTAAAGAGAGACTGAGCGCTCACCTGGATAAAACAGGCTGGGCTGTCTGCCCAGGTGATAACGCGAGCTTCTAAATATCAGAGATGTGCCCTGGCTGGTTTGGCATAGTGGTTAAGAGACTCGGCCTGAGGACTGAAGGGGCCTGGGTTTGATTCCGGCCAAGGGCATGTATCTCAGTTGCAGGCTTGGCCTGGTCAGTCGGGGTACATGGGGGAGGCAGCCAGTTGATGTCTCTCTCTCTCTCCCCTTCCACTCTCTGAAAAGCAGTGGGGGAAAAATATCCTCAGGTGAGGATTAAAAATAAATATCAAAGATGTGACAAAATGCCACAAAACTGTCAAAATGCCTTGTGTCTCTGAAATGGAGGGTCTAAGGCTCAAAGCACAGCTAGTGGGGTTTCATAAGTGAGTCCACTAAGAACATGGAGAATTTCATTATTTCCTCCAAACCTGAGTGGTGGACAAGGCTGGCTTCCTACTGCACCCACCTATGTGTGCCCAGCCCTCTACTAACACATGCAGGTGACAGGAAATAGTTCTCCTACCCTCTTCACCTCAAAATAGGCCTGAAAACATCTCCATTTTCAGAACTTGCATCAGCTGAGTAGTAATTCAAAACCGAGACTAACTGGAGTGAGTAAGCTGCAGTTTTTGCTGTTTTTACTTCTTAAATACTGCCTGGGAGGCAAGCGTGGTCTTCTTGTCAGAGCCACTGCCACAGCAGCCGAGGAGGCATCTGGAACCCCCGCAGTCCCTTCTGCCAGTTACACCATGCACATGAGCCATGTGGTCATTCTGCCCCGAAGATCAGGGACAAGGGGAGGAAGCGCAGTCTTACCTCCCAGCCCAAGTAGAGCAGCACCGCCATTGGGACTGCGAACCGCAGCACACACACCTGTCAGGAAGACACTACTTACATTATAAGTATCTGGAACACTTGCCTCACAGTTTTGCTTTGTAAATATATGACTTTTTAAAAACAACAAAAATATAATTTAAGGGAGCATGTAATGGAGTCTCCAACATGCGAAGCCACCAAGTCTACGTCACGGTCCAGACTGCTGCCCATGCTGCCCCAGTGATGCCAGGGGGCAGGGCACCTCAGAACCACGCCTTCAGGCTGGGAACCACGGGCCCACGCACTGACCACCACCTCAGGGCAACACGTTATCATCACAGGAGTGATAGCTCTGGACAGGGAGATTACTGGTCATTTAAAATTTTTCCTTTTGAGCTTTTCAGTACTTCCAAATTCTGTATAAAGAGCATATCTAATCAACGGTCTGGGGAAAAGAAATGATTAACGTATCAATGATCTACTCTTAGTTTCAAATTTCAGTTTCTGCTTTATCAGACTGATGCATGGGCAACTACTAAATGAAACAGGGTTGGTACGGAAGAAATGCTACGAGCCGTAGACAGGAAGGGGAGCACTGACCCTCGCTGGGGTATACAGGTGGGCGACCTTCAGAAGCAACCCCCATACTTCAGGGCTGCACAGGCCGGCAGCTGCAAACATACACACGTGCGGCGTCCACAGGTACTTCATTCTGTGAGGACAATGGGCAGAGGTCAGCTGAGACAGCGAGCTGGTCAAATCCTACCACACCATTCAGACATCTGCCATAGGTTACTATTAACTTCCCTCCTCTGAGAACTACCCCAGGAGTGAAAACAGAGGAGGGCTGCTATGCGGAAACACTGGTCACCACTGAGATTTTGTTCTGAAGACGACAGACAGGACCGCTTACGGGAACCATGGTCATTAGTGAAGACGGTATTGCTAAGTGATGTCAGGCACAGTGTGGCTGAACAGAAGAATAAACCAGAAATAAGACAGAAATACCTCATTGTGCTCAATGCCAAGGCTCCAAACACAATGGTGTGCGTTAGGTTGTAGGTGGTGTCAGGTCCCAGGCTGACTGTGCACCTTTCTGTCTCACCCAGGGGTGGCTGGGTGGGAGAGCTGCTGGATAAAATATCATACAAACAAATTAAAGCTGGATACAGAATTTTTATTTAGTCAAATCTCTTTTAGATACAATAAACTTTGGCTTTCATATGTTTAGAAATGTATTATTTCCGAGATAAAATGAATTGCCACTGATCATTTTAATTTGTTTATGAGGCGAAAAGTGTCATAATATAAATGCATTAATAACTAGAAAAACTAAAATGTAACAAATTTCATTTTAACTTAAGTAAACATTTAAAGTGCTTCAATCTTTTAAATTATAACAGCAAAAAAGTTCTTTTGAAATCAATGAAACTAAGAGATCCTAAAAGATGTTTTACAAGTTACCAGTACTTTTCAAGTTTTTACGAATAATAAAAAGTAAAAATGTATCTGTGACCTTGGGATATAGCCCTTCATGAACTAATGGTGCATTTTAACCTGCCAGTGCCCCTGGTGCACATGTAATAGGTGACTTTCTATCAACGATGCCCACACTGGAATGGACACTCCCATAGTTAAAAATGACTCCTTCCTATCACCTAACACACCCATTCATTCTATTTTAAGAACTACTGCAACTGCTTCTCTCAGGTGGGTTCCTTGATTCAGGACCTGAATCTTGCACACGGCGTTTCACTCACGTCTCTCTAAATTATCTTTCGGTCAATAAAAAAGTACCCCCCGCCTCATAAGGCATTTACCATTGAAGAAAAGGCACCACTTGCCCTGTAATGGTCCCACCTTCGAGTGTGGCTGTGGCCTCCCTGTGGGGTGGTGACTACAGCTCTCTATTCCCACGCTTCTCACACATGTACAGGTAGGTCTAGAGGTTGATGATTAGAGCCAAGGGCGTTATTCTGGCAGAAGCGCCTGGGGACGTGCCCTGTACTGCACCCTGTGGGAGCCATGCTCATCTGCCTATCTCCACTTCGGCAGCGTTGCCATGAGTGAGTGGATGCTCACAGGTGTCAGGGAGAGGAAGCAAGAGTGAAAGCCCCACTTTAAGATAAAGTGATACTTTTACAGGGCCCTCAACTTCACACAAGTCCCAGACTTGGGAGCAATGCTGCTGTGAACTGGAGACTCAGATCTCCAGAAACCCTCTTTCCCACCCTCGACTTACAAGAATTCAAAATGATATGTTCACTTGATCTCCCCACGGGTACTAATCTCCGGGGACCTTAGATATCACAGCAGACTCTGGACATTCCCGTTAAGCTGAACACGACCACGCTGTTCTGTGTCTGATGCTTTGATTTTCAGCTCAGCAATTTTCCTGCCACACTGCCGTGCTCACAGAGCCTGGTGCTGGTGTTCTGGAGCCCACGCACCTGAGGTTACGGAGGGCGATAGCCAGCGCTGCAGGCACAGTGATGCACAGGACAAACAGGTAGGCATGGAGAAGCAGGGTGTCTGAGAGCCTCCCGAGCGTGTTCCAGGGCAGGGGGCCGAACGCCTCTTCACACAGGTATAGGTTTGCATCAAAGTCTCTGGGAACAAACAGAAATCAAAGATTAAATTCAGTATCAGGAAATTACAATTTTTTTCCTCAAAATGAGCCTGAAGTGAACAGGTGAAGGTGCAATGATAACTTAAGTTCTCAAGTCCTTGCTGATTTAATATAAAAAGTAAACATAAATTTTATTTTTTAAAGAAAAAAAACAGATCTTAAATTTAGCCATACCTTGTTGCTCCAAACCCAAACTTTGCCTTCAGAAACTTGAATATGTGCTCATCCGACTTCAGGTTAAGAAATCTCTAGTGGGGGGACAAACGGAAGGTGCAGTCAGTGCCCGTGCACGGTGTCCGGAACCCACACCGGCTGGGCACCGGCTCAGTGTCCCACACACGCCCAGGACCTGCCACCGCCCTCAGGGCTGAGGCATCCCCAGCAGAGGCTCTGAAGCGGCCCATTCCTTTTTTTTTTTTTTTTAGCAGAATCATTTTGTCCAACAGAATCTTATGCGTAAGTTCAGTAAGTAAAGCAGATAAAGACGAGCATCTTTGGTTTCAGGGAGCCCACTGAACATAATTTTTCAGATCAGAAAACCAATACCCCGGTAATCTGCAGCCTCAAGTGGGTGCATAGACCCAAGCCCCGTGTGGCTGCGGACCAGTCACCCGGACATGTAGTTTTTTTTAAATTGAGAGAAATACTTGTTTAAGGCTTTTAAAATTGAGCTTCTACACAGTTTAATAACTCAAAAGGTAGCTCAAGGTAGAACTTGTTAAAGAGTGAATAGAAGCAAGGACTATAACCAAGAACATAATCCCATTACCAAAATCAGTAAAACTGAGCCTGTAAAACTGACAAGTAAAATTGGTAACTGTAGTAACACTAAATTAAATATGCCACTTTATTAACCTACCTTAATAATGTTGTTGAGAAAAAGCGTCAAACATAAAACCATAAATAAATGTAACAATAGTTTCCCAAGCCTATTAAGGAAGCTTCCAGTTTTCAGGTTTTTCTAGAAATTAAAAGAGTTGAGTTTTAATTCTTAAATTTTAATATAACTATGAAGAGCACATCCCCGCACACACTAGCTCTTATTCTCAAATTTACCCACAAACAAAAGTATAACATCTCTCTCTTTTACTTCAACATTAAATCAGCAGCATTCAAATAAGCATCTTTGGTTAATCCCTGAATTGAAGTAAGATTCTAATTCTCAGAGAAATAATAAAAACAGGAACACTAACCCAACAGTTCCAAAACAGCAAATGAGCCTGGCTGGTGTGGCTCAGCAGTTGAGCATCGACCTAGGACCCAGGAGATGGAGGTTTGACTCCCATCAGGGCACACGCCCGGGTTGCAGCTCGATCCCCAGCAAGGGGCGTGTGGGAGGCAGCCGATCAATGACTCTCTTCTCATTTGTGTTTCTCTCTCTCCCCCTCGCCCTTCCTCTCCCTGAAATCCATAAAGATACATTAAAAAGCAAAACAAAAAACCCACAAAAACAAAACAAAAAGCAAAGGATGCCCGTTCCGCTTTTTAGTGGGAATTTGGTCACGTTTTCGTTTGAATGCTGCATGAAAATAAGGTCCTACAAACCACACTGCTTAAACATTTACAGGGGAAGAAAAGTCCTACCTGAAGTTTTCTTGCAATTAATACTGAAAGGTTAAAACTGATAAGCAACGATCCAAGGATCATGGAATTGAGAAACTGCAGGGCGCAGACCAGGAGCAAGGCCGAGATCTGGGTCATGTACAGCCACGTTGCCTGCAACAGCCAGAGGGCGTGAGGCCGTCACACAGAGAACACCGAGCAACATAGGCTGACAAGGAAACGAAACCACATACTTCTGTTTACTAAACTTTAACTACAAAACATTTAAAATTTTGTAACATTAGTTAAAGAGGAAACAAACTGGATTCCGTGAAGTGGAGGAAGCAGACAGTGCTCTAAGAACACCCTGGAAACGGGCAAAGGCGGCGTGTAGTCTTCAGTTTTCTTCTAAATCCTTTTACCGTCGCTGTGGACAGCCGACCCCCAGTATTTTCTCATATTCCACTACTTCCTAACTTGCCCACTTCAGGACCATGTCCTACGTTGATTTCTTTTATCTGTGTGCCTCACTGCCCCAGACTGAAAGCTGCGTGGAGCGGGCCCGGTGTGGCACCAGGACGGCCCTCGTGTGGGCACCGGCCCGTCTGGCAGACAGGGACGCTCGCACCCGCCTCAGCGCCGTGTGGCCCGGCCCGCGGCCAGCTGGGGTGACGCGTGGAAATGTACATAAGCAGCACTCCCAATGACAGCTGTGGACGGAATAAAAACTGAATAAAGCAAAACTCAACCCATGTGGACACAAAAAAATGCCTCAAAGAACAAAAGAGCGAAGCTGGGACTTTTTCCTTCTTTCAAATCAGGCCGTTCAGCTCCTATGGCTTACAAAAAACTTCACCTTTACTCAGCAGCAAGTCAAGACTTCCCTTGTTTTGCTTTCTAACCTCAAAGGAAACAGTCCTATGCCAGCATTCAAAAGGAAGGCCTGCAACACACACGAGGACACAAGCAGGGCGTTAAGTCCTGGTTTCACAGGGAAGTCCGTGTGGCTAGTCAACAGGGCTCACACCCCAAGTCAGTTCAATGTTACTGTGAAGACTTTATAAAGTACCACAGAAGAGTTGTTACATAGCCATTGATTTCCTTGGGGGGAAAAAAAAGTCAATACATAGCCACACATTTTCAAAGAGGTATCTTATAAATTAAAATTGAAGTCCTCTTGCCCGGCCAGTGTGGCTCAGCAGTTGAGCATCGACCCGGGATCCAGGAGATCGTGGTTCAATTCCCAGTCAGGGCACACGCCCGGGTTGTGGGCTCGATCCCCCCAGTAGAACGCGTGCAGGAGGCAGCCAATCGATGACTGTCTCTCATTGATGTTTCTATCTCTCTTTCTCCCTCTCGCTTCCTCTCTCTGAAATCAATAAACATATATTAAAAAAAAAATTGAAGTCGTCTCTATAAAGGACAATTGACCTCGATAATTTGTGCTCCAGATAACTACATCCTTTAACGCACAACGAGCAGAGTAAGAGTTAAGACGGTCAAATGCGGCTGCAAGAACCACCAGCTCAAACAGCACATTTCTGTGAGCTGACAGCAGTTATGCACGTGTGCGCCCGCTCCCTCTGCGAGAGGAATAGTAAATGAGAATCGCCTGGACTGGGCAGCGGGCAGTGCTCACCTTCAGGGCGGGCAGCATGTCCAGGGAGTCCAGGGCAAACAGCCCCAGTGCCTGCACCAGCATTGTAAACTGATTAAACTGCCACGTCAGACTGAAGACGAAAGTTGAGATGAAAATGGCAAGCAGGGTCAGCCGCTGTGAAAAGAAAACCTTTGTATAACTTATATGTCACATGTAATAAAAAGCCTTGTAGACAAGCTTCTAAGAGCAGCTTGGTCTCTAACCAAACAGAGAAAGCACAGGCTGTGGCTCTGACCCCTGACCACCGGCCACCTGGCCTGTCACCATCCACAGGTGCCGTGGGCCCTGCACCCACACGGAAGCCACACATACCAGACCACATCTCGAGCAAAAGCCTAAGGGTTCTGACAGTTTTGCAGGAATTATCTGTGTGTTTGCTGCAACTACTTAAGGGCAGATTATGTTGAGCACATTTTTAACAACAAAAGTGAAACCATCTTTTTTGCAAAGGAGAAGGCTCGGGAGACTTCACTTAATCCATAAAACACTGGTCACGCACGAGGGACTATCACAGGCTTTGGGACACCATAAAGCTGGAGATTAAAAACGTAGGAAGGGTTATGGAAACGCACCTCAGGCAGCGGCCGCAGGTGTGGTCTCAGGAAGCATGTGACGGCTGCGATCTGAATTGCGAAGAAAGGCAGCGCCCAGTTCTCCCTCAGCGGGACCGTGAACTCCACCCTGGTCGTGTCTGTCCTGCACAAAGACAGTGACGACACTCGTCATCTGTGTTGCAATCCCCTCCAGACGTCCTAAAAGGGCAGCTAAGCCACATGGGGGACACTCAGGCTCTGGTTATTGGTTCTCAGGAACAATCTGTCCCCCTCACCATCACTCCTGCGACATGAACACGCATGGAGAAAATCCAGGTGCCCTGCTCACACACACGCAGTAAGCCAGGTGTGGATCTGGGCTCCGAACACACTGATGTTCACGTGACCGCCTCACACTGCTTCCAGCTTCACTAGTGCACACTCCCCTGCACTCCTCACTGCTTCACACTTGAGTCCTCAACTTGTCACTGCCGACCATTTACACCCTAGAATGTGAGCCCCTTGAGGGCAGGTACATGTCAGTTTTCATCTTTTTTTTTTAATGCTCACCCGAGGATATTTTTTCCATTGCTTTTTGGGGGACACACACATCAATTAGTTGCCTCCTGCTCACATACCCCAACTGAGGCCAGGGATCGAGCCTGCAACTGAGATACGTGCCCTTGACCGGGAATCAAACCCGAGATCCTTCAATCCGAGGGCGAACACTCTAGCCACACCAGCAGGGCCAGTTTTCCTCTTTGTGCACCTGGTACTGAGCCATCCCTACACACAGCAGGCATTCAGTAAGTATTTCATTTACTCATAATATGAGAAATGACTTTTGTTTTCACTCAGATTGAAATGTTAGGAGGCAGCACAGCACCAGGCACCACACCTACGTTGACGTAGCCGTGTGCCGATATAAATGTACACGTGCCTTGACCTACACCATATTCTCACACACACTCATGTAGCGGTGCTTTAAGTCATCCCCGAAGCGTCAGTGTCCTCACCTCTGGAAGGCAGTAATAAGTGTGCCCTGAGCAGGGCTGACAGAGGAATAGAGCATTTGCAAAGTGCCTGGCATGTGGTAATCAATCAACAAGGTTATAGTAAAAAGAAATTTGTTTAGGATTATGAAATAAAATCAAAGTTAGAATGTGTATTCAAGTGTGTAAGCTTCCTCCTCAGAATGGGGCTGCTACTGTAGGTCAGGCAGTTTTTCTATATATCTTGAATATGTTTTTATTTAGAGATGGAGAACATGATGAAGATCCTCTTGTGTGTACAGTGCTTGGTGCTTCACCAGTTATGAGCCACATGCACCATCAGGGTGACAGGGAAGAGATTACAAACATCTGAGGTGAGGCGTGTGGCTGGAGAAACGCCAACCACACAGTACACCTGTAATAGAACTGGGCTGTGACGAGTGGTTCTCTTGACCTTCAATTCAACACTCTGCTCCTCAGCTGGACATATGTGCACTAGGACGTTCTACCTTTCTAAACGAGAGGACACTGCTAGGCAAGTACTCCCACCTCCTCTGAACTGGAAATGAAGTAACTTCACTTTTGCTTATATTTTATCAAGGGAGATAGGCATCCTGACTCCAACTCACCTGTTTGTGACATACCAGAAAGCGGCTAACAGGCCTGACAGCCACGTGCCGCTGAGGAGCCAGCTGGTTGTGTAGAGAGCTGCGACATAGATCGCCTGGAGTCCAAATAAGGTGTAAATATAAAAATACACTGGCTCCAAGTATTTCTGTAAAAGGGAACAATAGCAATGACTGTTAGGGAAGCCCTACTCCTTCTCCTGCCATTTAAAAAACACAACAGTAGTGATTCAATATTCAGAAGCTTGGTATCAATTCCAAGCGATCAGCACACATCACTACAAAAGCAGAAGAGGCAGGAGGCCTCTGGCTTCACTCTTTAGGCAAGTTTACACCTAATTGTGTCCAGTTATACCTTGTCTGTGTGAAAAGTGATCACTGTGATTTGCTAACTTCCCAATGTTTTCATTTAAAAGATAAGTGAGGAGTACATGTTTCCACATGGGAATATTATCACCTCTAGAGGGCACAGGAAGCATCTACATGCGAAAATCTTATAACACAGGAATATAATGCAAAGTTTACAATATTTACAAAGATCAGAATAACATGTGAAACTTCAACCTAAAATGGCAGATTTTGATGTTCACCTGCTATTAACAACTCAACGTCTCAAGACACAACCTACCTGTATGGGTAGAACTCTATATAAAACACTGAGAAAAACCTCTTGGTAAATATTCATTCGTTGAAGGAGGTTAATTGTCTTCATAGATTCAGTTTTGTTATCATACATTAAGCCATGAAAACCTAAGGTTGATATTTGAAAAATCAGGAAAAATAATTACAATTAAGATCATTCATTTATTGAAAACTGTTCACAGATTGTTTAGAAAGTGCCCAAGAGCATGCCCTGCCGCAGAGTAGACAACACCATCGAGTGAGCAATTCTTACTAAACCAGAACCCGGCTCCCACCAGCCCCAGCCCCTCCCTGCTAGGGGGACACCAGACAGCAGAGAAACACTGACTGGCAGGCACACTGGGCTCCAGCAAATCCAGAAAGTGGAAAACTCTATGCGATAGATGAATCAGCATTTTCAACAAAAAATTACAAGAAAAAATGAAAAGAAATCTATAGATTAGAAGAAACACATAAAGAGACACAGCAAACGACTGCAACGTATAGGTTTTATTATCAAAAACTTATTAAAATGCTGTGAGACATGGAAGTCCATTGCCGGACTCTCTGCCTCTTCAAGGGTCTGGAGCCTCCTGAAATAACCTAATCTTAACAAGCAACAGGTGCGTGGGGCTCAGTGCCTCCTGAGAAAGGCACATTCACCTTCACAGCAGTCTCTACACTCCACCATCGGTGTTGCCATCTGGGCCTGAAAATTCTTTGTTGTGGTCAATTTATGATGTTTTTGTGTAAGGACACCATTGCTTTTTTCTTTTGCAAGGGAGGTGGGAGCGTGTGCGGCTGGAGCTGGTGTCCAGTCCCGGGGCCATGTGCCGCCCCCCTGCCTGTCCCCTTTCTGTCGCAGTCCATAGCCAAAGTGCCAGGGCCAGGGCCTTCCCCCCTTCCTTGTGGTGTCCAGTGGGGGCGGGAAGGACGAGCCCTTGTGTTGAGGGCTGACTTTCAACAGATCGCAGCGAGGGAGCTGCTCTGCTACATAGAAAACACCAACCTAGGAGCCAGTGGGCATCGTCTTTAGTGCACACTGCTGACTCCTGCCAACAGCGCCCTAACTCATGCCTGAAGGACGCTCATCTTATCCTGCCTTTCCTGTATCGACTGTACCTTGGGGCCATCGAACAGCTGATGAAAAAAAGGTTTTTATATAAGAGACTTTCAGCTAACAAATACAGGAGGAATGATAGAATTAGAATGCCACTCTGCAACTCTACTGAAATAATGGATACAGGCAATAATTCTCAAATGGCTGCTAAAACCAATACGTTTGGCTGATGGGTAGCTAACTTTATTATGGGTAAAACTGCATGTCTACACAGGAACTAACTTTTATGGCACAAAAAAAAAGATGGGTAAAATCTCATGCTTCTTATTCTGATAAAAGGTGAGCACAAAACATCACCTACGAAGAATTCTTGCAAAACACTCATCCGAGCCCAAGCAGAGTCTAGGGCAGGGCGGCTGTGTCATGTGTCATGTTAAGCACATCAGCATGTGTGACGTAGGGGGACCCTTCTGGGCTCCCATTAGCTGGAGCAAAGGTAAAGAGTAAGGACTCTAAATACTCAGAAAGAGTGACAACAGGAGGAGATGGCAACTGCAAAAGGAAGGAAGGAACGGGTCACTAGGGACAACTGTCACTTTCATTCATGTTATCAAAGGCCTCCATTTAGACAATACTCCTTTCACTTACACAGACCTCTTTCAAAATGACAGTGAGACAAGTCAGCCACAAAAACAAGAAACTGCAAACGTGAACTGTGGGATAGGGCAGAGCTGAGAGGCAAGGAAGGGAGGGTTACATAAAGTGTTATACATCTTCTAGAGCAAAACATCTTCATGCGTTGACATTTAACAAGCAAACACTATACATGGTCAAAGAAAAAACGATACAAGTTCTATGGGCATTTAACATGTTTTAGTGCAAAAGTGTTTTCTGGCTGGAATAGCGGGAAGAGCGCAGTGGCCCCGAATCGCATTAGCAGAGTTACCGTGCGCAAGGCTGGGTGCCTGCAGCATCTGCTTGTAGTAGGAATAGTACAGCCCACACTCGGTCCGGAAGGAGATCTCCCGCTCCACCTCCTGAAACGAAGGCAGGCCTATGGGTTTACACAACCTAGTCTGGTTAAGTATCTATTGTCACTACAGCACTACAAGTTAACAGGAAAACAAACTCTGGAAACACAGTCTTAAGACATCTTAGAAATAAAGCAGTAGCAGGCTGACAGCTGCTGAGGCTGGGTGCACATTAGGTTTATTATACGACTCTCTACTTTTGTGGATGTTTAAAATTTTCTATAACAAAGCATTTTTAAACATGGAGATAACTAGTCTATTTAGTTGATGTTTCAGAGTTAACATTTTTCTTGTATTTTATACAAATTAGAACTTAAAAAAACCCTACCACCACTCCTACATAATATTATGGGAAACAAAATCAAAAGATCCCCAGTGAAAAGAATTGTAATTGCATTAGACACTTGCCTAAAAGCTAACAATATTATATGAATAGTTTTCTTATTATAAGAGTATAAGATATTCTTAGTGAAACAGGACAGACCTTTAATTTTTTTTAATCCTCACCGAGGATATTTTTTCCATTGCTTTTCAGAGAGAGTGGAAGGGAGAGACACACATCGATGGGTTGCCTCCTGCACACACCCCAACCAGGGCTGGGGATTGAGCCTGCAACTGATGTACATGCCCTTGACCAGGAATCGAACACGGGACCCTTCAGTCCATGGGCTGATGCTCCAAACTGGCCAGGGCAGGGCAGACCTTTCTCATGTGAATTTTACTTTGACAAGTGGAAAGATGTTCATGTAGGAAAATGAATACAAGAAATTTAAACTACTTTAACAAACAGTCAACTTTAGAAGAACTAAAATTTAAAGCAATAGCTATTAAGTCAATTTGGTTATAAGAAGCTTTTATAAAACTGAAGACATTAACATAATGTTGGTAGTGGTAATGAGGACAGGAAGACTGTCTGGGATAATCTCACTAATACTCTTAGGTTCTGTATTTCATATATGTGTATGCAAAGCATTATAAATTAATAAGAATTATAATCTACGTCATTACAGATTCCTCTACACCAGTATTCAAAAAACCAGGTCCTAGGATCTGCAGCACCTGGTCTGAAATGTGTCTCCATCTGTGTTTTCTGTTACAGTGAATCCACATTCCACAGACCTGACTCCACTGGGAAGATGGTTAACACCACAAATCTGTGCTTTCCCTTACCGCCAACTATTTCTCAAATACTAATAAATATTCCACTAAAAGAACCACTCATGCTATTTATCTTCAGACCTGGGAACTATTTATTTCTTCTACCCTTTAAGTATTTCTTTAAATATTTCTCTTATTCTTTAAAAAAAAAAAAAGTATTATAAATCAATTCATGAATAAAGCATTAAAGAAATACTCAGCCTGGCCGGCGTGGCTCAGTGGTTGGGCGTTGACCTATGAACCAGGAGGCCATGGTTCAATTCCCGGTCAGGGCACATGCCCGGGCTTTGGGCTTGATCCCTAGTCGGTGCCATGCAGGAGGCAGCTGATCAATGCCTCTCTCATCATTGATGTTTCTATCTCTCTCTCTCCCTTCCTCTCATTGAAATCAATAAAAAAATATATATATATTTTAAAAAGAAATACTCAATTATCTAAGAGTATAAACATCCAATTATTGACCTTGAAAAACAAACTATTATGTTCTATCATTGTTAACACTTTTTAAAAAATAGGAAGAGGAGTAAGGTAGCAAATTTTATATAATGATCTTCCTTTCATGGAAAACAAATTTATCCTGGAAAAATAAAACATTTTTCATTAGCACATTTGCTTCGTAGAAAGGACAACATAAAATGATGTAGCTCTTTTAGCTTTTCCACTGGCTGCTGATCTGTGATGTACCTTCTGTGGCAGGAAAGTCAGCCCTCTCAGCAGTCATGTTGCCTCACCCACCTTTAGCCCTTGAGAACGGCTCTACTGCTTTTGTGACATAAAACTAACTGGTATCACCCCTTTCTAGAACATTCAAACTCCTGTTTGGTCAAGTAACCACAGAAGCTGTGAGTTGATGTTAATGAGTCAGTATTAGCTTTCTCCATGCAAACAAGAAACACATTAAGTTTAATCACACCCCATTTCTTCTCTCCAGCTGCCTTAAAGTGTTCAAAGAACGGCTGCCTTCAATGGAACATTCTGATGTCAAACCTACTCCCCAAATCAACCTGCAGAGCCACGCTGGCCACGCCCCTGTGGGGCTTCATCTGCAGCAGGGCTCTGAGAGGGAAAGACTGACTTCATAAAGATGGGGAAAGAGAAACGCTGCTCGAAGTACTAACAGGAGAAAGCTTTGTGCCCTCCCCCCTTAATGCACCCAGAATGTGTGAACAGAGGGTCGTAATTAGTAAAAATGCATCAAACATGATGAATTGGTGATCGTGGCACCAGCTGTATGGAACCAAATGCTATACTTTATCAGGCAGACATTTGCAAGTTTTACATCTGCTTCCTGCTAAGACAACATCTGCTTCACCCTTTTGAACATTTTTCCAGTTTTATAGCAATTTATACTTTGCTGGGTGGGTCGTGTCTAGGGCAATGTACAGCAACAGGCGTCACCTCTAAGGAGTGCAGGAGGGGCAAGTACCTATTTTACCTTCGTAGGTCCCACAGGGAAAGCGATGCTAAGAAACTGCAAACATCTCTAAAGATAGTAACAGAAAAAGTGGGAAGGCAGAGGAACTGAATTTTTAAGCAGCTGACAGCTGAGCCCGTTCTGTAGTGTGCACATAGTAATTTAAAAGAAGTCCTATGAGGAAAAGCACCAGGAAGGAAAATTCCTGTTTGGAATGAGGGATCCACCTCTGGCAGCACACAAAGGGTAGCAAGCCCTTTTAGACAACCACCACCAAATGTGCAAAGGAAAGGTATCATTAGTTTAAAATTTTTTCATGTAAATAACTTTTGTTTATAAAAATTGCCCTCAAAATAACCAGGTTGCAGATAATGGGGAAGCCATGTGGAGATTAACCTGATAAATGTATCTATTTCTGGAACAGGTTACAAATCACCTCACAGACAGACAGCTGTTCTCAAAGTCCGGCTGGGAAGCAAGCGCTCAGCAAACATATTCATGGTACAAACATGGTTTACTGTCTGGTTAAATTCATGTCCATCTGTCAGAATGAACGATTCTGCCCCTTGAGGTGACTAAAACCGTGAAGTGAGAGTTGCCCAGCTTTGAGGACTGACCCTACTGACCCTAAGATGCCTTGCACAGCAAGAGCATTCAATGGGAAGACATACAAATTCTGCGACATCAAACACGTAGGAGAGTAACAGTGGAAAACGTTAGCATAAGGAAGACGACTGAAAGAACTGAGTAACTTGAGAGCTTCCAGCCAAATGAGAATTACCTTTCCTTACCACAGGACGCTTATTTGCTGAGGAAACAAAAAGGTATAAGAATTTAGTCCTTGATCCCGAGGGACACAATTTTCAATGAGGAAGAATCATGCATTAAAAAAGAAAATAAAATGGCTTGCAGGAAAGACGGCATCAGTCCGAGAAATGAGTCTTTGCCTGAAGTACTAAACCAGCCTCCCCAGTGGACTCTGCTTCTAATTGGCCTCTTTTCCTTCACGAATTCCTTCCTTCCTTCCACAAACACCTGCTGACCAGCAAGTGGCCAGCATTCGGCTGGGAGATCAAGCATGGAACAAAGAGACACAGGCCCATGCCTTCATGGGATTTATAATCTACAGCAAATCAGTAAAATACAATGAGTAAAGCACAGAAACGGGGGTGGGGGGCGGGGAAGGCCTCACAGATGAAGGGACAACTGAATGGAGACCTGGACAGGAGAGGCCACCAGCCACGTGGAAAGAGCCCTGAGGAATAGGGAGGCTGGCAGTGTGGTTAGAGTAGAGGAAGGTGGGGGTAGCTAGTGAGGTCCCGGAGGCTTTCACACTCGAGTTTCCTATACGAGCCCCTTCCCTGTGACACTCATCTTTCCTCCCCACTTTGCCTGGTTAACCCTTCTCATCTTCTCATCCTTCAGGTGCCACTGACATTACGTCATCTAAAAACTTTCCCTGACCTTCTAAACCTGGTCAGGCCACCCTCCTACGTGCTCCCGATACTAGTCAGCTCATCACAGTGCTGGCTGTACACACGTGCAACTGCCCACCTGCCAGTGTCTTGCTCGAGAGGGCCAGCTTGAAGGGAGGGGCTTGTCTCACTGGGTGGTGCTGCTACCACTGAAAACGGGCCTGCTGGCTGGCACACTGTAGGTGCTGGGTACCTACCGACTACAGCCATCTGTTTCACGGGAAAATCTGCTGGCAAATTCAGAAGGCTTTGTTATTCTTTCCATGTTCCTTCGCGGTGTTTAAATTAGTGTTACTCACAGACCAGGCACTCAATAAATGCCAGGTAAAAGTAGAATGACTTCTTTCACCTGTAAGGGTAGAGAGACCACCCTGCGGTGCTCAGGCTTCCTGATGATGGGGTTTACTTGAGGATGCTGGCAGGGCTTTAGGTCAAGGAGCTAAATTCATAGTTTAAAACTAAGTTATGGGATCTCTTCAGCACATCTCCTTACTTACTATTTAGTTACCAGCACAAGGCTATTTGAGCCTTTATACAAAATACTTGTGTTAATAAGTAAGAATTAAACTACTTAATTCTTGGGAATGCTTCAAATGGAGCAGGTGCTGTTTAGAGACACAGGCGAGTAAAACTTTTCTGGACAAGAAAACTAGCAGCGTCACTGACAGGTAAGAATTACTGCTCTGTTGTCATGGTAACATGCACAAAGGCACAGCCACAAATGTGGGCCACCGCACACTAGGAGCTAGTCAGGGCATTAATCTGTCATCTCAATAAGAAACCCAAAGCCTCAAGATATTTTGGAAAACTCTCCATGGGAACTGTCTTTAGATTCCACGTTGATTCTTCTGAATGTTCTCACAGATGATAAATCTTTGAGCTCTGAAGGAGAATTTTGCCTTTGTAAGCAGCTAGTCATTAAAAGCCATGGTAGTAAATAAGGTCAAAGACCATGATGCTTTGGATAAAAAAAAGGGTATATTTGGTTAAAAAACACAACCACCCTGGCCGGTTTGGCTTGGTAGTTAGAGTGTCAGCCCTTGCACTGACAGTTCAATCCCAGTCACGGGCATGTACCTCGGTTGCAGGCTTGATCCCTAGCCCTGGTTGGGGCACATGTGGGAGGCAACCAATCGATGTTTCTCTCTCTCTCTCTGAAAAAGCAGTGGAAAAAATATCCTCAGGTGAGGATTAAATAAACACACACACACAAAACATTGCCAATATGTAAGTTTCCTCACATAATATACTGATTCTGAAAACAATGCTAAGTTAAAAAACATCTAGAAGTGCTTCAAAAGAGAGAAGAAAGACAACAGCAAATGTGTTTAAACATCACAGATCCTGCCTAGCCACTGAGCATTGACCTAGGATCCAGGAGGTCGCGGTTGGATTCCCCGTGGAGGCACATGACGGGGTTGCAGGCCCCTCGATCCCCAGTAGGGGGCGTGCAGGAGGCAGCCGATCAATGACTCTCACCACTGATGTTTCTCTTTCTCTCTCTCCCTCTCCTGAAATCAATAAAGATATATTTAAAAACAACAAAACCAAAACCAAAACCAAAACCCCCTAACAGACCCTCCTGAGTGTGATGAAAATTATGGCTCCTTCCCCAGAAAAGGTGTGGCTTGCCTCCAGCCACGTGCGTATCCCGTTTGCAGTGGACCCACTGTGGCCATCGGCAGAGACTCCATCGCTCAGAGCAGTGTCTTATGAATTTTTCCTTTTTTTTAAATACTACTCAACAGAATAAAAACTTTTATACCGTGACCCAATCTGTACACAGACAGACACAATTAAGAGTTTCACAGATAACCCTGCACCCAGCACCTGTGGCAGTCCTGTCTTGTACTTGATTTCATGAAGGAAAACGTCACTCGAGACCTACAGCACGGATTTCATGATCCAGTCTGGAAAGCGCGAGTTCAGAATAAGTGCTGCTTCACTGGGGTAAGCTATGGAACTCACTTGATTGTAAACATTCTGATCTTATTTTAAACTAATAAACACCGTCTTTTTACTCCATAGCCACACTTTTTAAGGGACTGGATTCTTTGTGGGAAACTGCACGGTGCTGGTCACTCACGGGACACACTGCGGAGCACATGGCGCGAGGCTGCGGGAACCGCGTACCTTAATGTTGGAGAACCACAGGTCATTTTCATGCAGAGTGGCCAGGTAGACAGCAGTCAGGAGCCCAGTGCAAAGCGCAACGGCTCCACCAACTGTAAACGACAGGATCTTCCACAGTCTTCTACTGGTACAACCTTTTGGGAAAATCAAACAGATAACTCGCTAAGCCGGTAAAGAAGGGCAGTCCCACCTCAGATGGCCGGCGTGCTGAAAATTATTCGTGACACTGAAATGCCGGGTGTCAGACCAAGGCTCCTCAGCCGCTGGTCGCACTGAGTTTTTATGCTGCGGGAGTGACATCAACACGCAGAAACGAGAAGGGCCGGAGGCC